GAGGGGCGGTTCTCTGAACTCCCCAGAGAAACAAGTGCTGAAGGAGGCGGGGGGTGGTGCAAAATGTACTCATGCTCAAACACAAACAAATGGTCACGTGAGTCGATGGAAAAGTCACGTGCCTAATGTGCTAAAAATAGCCTTAACATCTGCTAAGAGCAGCAAATGAAGAAACGAATGTGTCTGTCTGTCTGTCCGTCTGTCTGTCTGTCTGTCTGTCTGTCTGTCTGTGCAGACTAATGATTTGTTTACTAACAATTTAAATATGGAATGGTCATTCGTGAAATTTCGACGTCTGCAAAAACCGGATGTTGATATAAAATCTGCGGACACCAACATGGCTAACCCAAGCAGTAAAGTTTACAAAAATTGGTCACAAGTCTCACAAGTCAAATCGTTTCTTGCACATATGGCATAATTAATTACTTCAACCCCAAAACTAAACTGTTGATTTCATTTACCCACTGCAAATTGACTTTGATTCCAAGGACAGCTACGCCTACTCGTGCATCGAACTTTGAAAAAAATTTCTCCAACCCAATCTACAGGTGAACCAAACAAAACAGATTAAAATCCAAACAAGACAAGTTTTTAATTGGATCAATTCATAAACGCTAAATCATATCAATGTTTTACATTTCGCTGGCTCACATTTACTAAATATCCGTAATTTATGAACATCATTAAAAATATGTTCATTTATATTTTTAAATGCATCAAAAATTGTTCAATTATACAAGCGTTTATTTAACTTGCTTCCTCTTCATATCTGTCTGAATTAAGGATCGAAACTGGCGAGCGAAATTTTGACCACTTGTAACCAACCAATTTCACTGAAAGTTGGCACGTGGTTGACAACAATCTGACATCAAATTTGACTTAATTAGGTGTTAAATTAAATTTTAAAAAGTCAATTAAAATTTCCTATATAATTATTATAAAATACGATTTACCGCACTATTATATGCACATTTTTTCACGTGTTTGGTGCGCAACTGTTTTTACTAATTCTATTAAAACGTTTACAGTACTCAAAAAAAAAAAAAAAAAAAAAAGCGGGAATGATTCCCTCTAAACTTTCTCGAATATTTTGATATAACACTATGGGGGATGGCAACTCGGGATATTGACAATTTTTAATCAATTTTTAAATAATTACATTTAAAAAAATTGAATATAATATCGTGGAAGATGAATTGCGCACCAAATGAACAGCAAAAACTGTGTGTATAACAGTGCGGAACAGTGCTTTATAAAGAAAACTTTGATTAATTTTCAAAGAGTAAATTAATCATCTAATTAAGTAACAATACATTTTCTTCGTGTCTTGACCTACGTGAGACGTTTAGAATTACTGAGTTCGGTAGAAGTGTTCGAAATTTCGTTTAGAATTACTGAGTTCGGTAGAAGTGTTCGAAATTTCGTTTAGAATTACTGAGTTCGGTAGAAGTGTTCGAAATTTCGTTTAGAATTACTGAGTTCGGTAGAAGTGTTCGAAATTTCGTTTAGAATTACTGAGTTCGGTAGAAGTGTTCGAAATTTCGTTTAGAATTACTGAGTTCGGTAGAAGTGTTCGAAATTTCGTTTAGAATTACTGAGTTCGGTAGAAGTATTTGAAATTTCGTTTAGAATTACTGAGTTCGGTAGAAGTGTTCGAAATTTCGTTTAGAATTACTGAGTTCGGTAGAAGTGTTCGAAATTTCGTTTAGAATTACTGAGTTCGGTAGAAGTGTTCGAAATTTCGTTTAGAATTACTGAGTTCGGTAGAAGTGTTCGAAATTTCGTTTAGAATTACTGAGTTCGGTAGAAGTATTTGAAATTTCGTTTAGAATTACTGAGTTCGGTAGAAGTGTTCGAAATTTCGTTTAGAATTACTGAGTTCGGTAGAAGTGTTCGAAATTTCGTTTAGAATTACTGAGTTCGGTAGAAGTGTTCGAAATTTCGTTTAGAATTACTGAGTTCGGTAGAAGTGTTCGAAATTTCGTTTAGAATTACTGAGTTCGGTAGAAGTGTTCGAAATTTCGTTTAGAATTACTGAGTTCGGTAGAAGTGTTCGAAATTTCGTTTAGAATTACTGAGTTCGGTAGAAGTGTTCGAAATTTCGTTTAGAATTACTGAGTTCGGTAGAAGTGTTCGAAATTTCGTTTAGAATTACTGAGTTCGGTAGAAGTGTTCGAAATTTCGTTTAGAATTACTGAGTTCGGTAGAAGTGTTCGAAATTTCGTTTAGAATTACTGAGTTCGGTAGAAGTGTTTGAAATTTTGCTGGCAATTTTCCGACCATGACGGACGAAAGACAAAGGAATCAAGTTAAAAATAAATTCATATCCGTTTTTTGAGAAATCGGAAATAGCGTAAAGTACTACTTCCGGTCACCGGAAATTACTCAAAATTTGAAAGAAAACAGAGAATTAGATCTTCTACTTTATTTGGAATTTCGTATATCTAACAGAAACAGTACTCAAATTATAAGCTTTTGAAAAACAGGAAGTAGAATAAGTTCCACTTCCGGTTACAGGAAATCGCTCAAAAGTTAACACAGAACTCAAAATATCATATATAGTATTTAGATAATAAGAAATTTCGTCAACTCTGCTGTAACTGTACTCGTGTTCACAGACAGACATACAGTCATACGGACAAAATTGCAAAGCCCAGTTTATCCGACTCGACGACGCGTAAAACGCCGAAATTTTGATACATTTGGATTAAAATCTTTTGCCTGATTAAAATAAGTCCCCCATATGATGAAGTACAGAGTAGTAAAACGGTGAAAACTGTCAACATTTCATGTGATTTTTGTGCTCGATTACAATACTTAATCTGTACTCTGTATACGAGAAAGTAAAAACAACAACAAAAAACGTTATAATAACGAGCTTTTATGTAAAAATGGAAAAAAAAAGGAGAAAATAAATGATTTTCTTTAAATATATAATAATAAACTACTATTTAAGTACGTATTAAAAAAAACGAGGGTCGCCCCTTGAACTCTGGTGAAGGTATCCCATACATAATATAGCGACCCGCGCTTTTATTTTTAGCTATTTAAATAGTAGTTCATTATTATACATTTTAAGAAAATCATTTAATTTTTACTTTTTTTTGGTGCATAATTACATAAAATCTTGTTATTAAAACGGTTTTTGCGCTTTCTTTTTCTCATTAACATAATAATAATTTCATGATTAGAGTGGCCACAGAAATAAGTGAGAGAAAATGTCTGGCATGGTATTCCATCAATATAATAACATCGACATGGAGAAAACTAATATTTCCTAGATTAAAATGACGTCATCACGGCTTCCGGTGACGTCACGTGACGCCATGTTCTCAATGAAGAGTCCCAATCAAACACCCATAGAGCCGAGTATAAAAACTTTATCTGTAATTAAAAGCGCCAATGACCTGGATTAATTGGCGTGAAATCAGACTCTATCACACTGAATGACCCGGTACGTTCAGCCGATGACCAAATGTTTGTTTCTCGGAGCATCACAAAAAATATTGCGCAATGTTTTTCAGTGAAGCACAATTTGGTTTTTTAAGGACGTAAATAGTTGTGATGCCATTTGGAGAGGCACTTAATTGATTGCAATAGGACACAATTAACTCAAACAAACAAAAGACGACGACAAAATCTAACTTTGGTTTTGTTGGAATAACGGAAAATATATTCTCGGATAAAAGGGTTATTTTCATCTTAATATTTTTTTTAAAGTCGTTCTAGGAATATCCATTATACCGGTGTATTTCCTAGCATAAGGCACGCGAATTTCTAGAACTTTCCTTAGATGTGTCTGTCTGTTTGTGTCCTAACCCTAACCAAACAACACATGGATGTAAAACTAGTCTCTCCAACTGTCCCCAGATGTCTCCAATCAGTAAACTGAAAAGCTAGTCATTTTAAAGTTGTTTTTTTTTCTTTTTTTAAGCGTGTTTCATGTTTCATCAAATAAGTCTAAAATTATTTATTTAAAATATTTGTTTAATTAAATGTAATGACAAGACACATCCGATATGTAATGACAAAACACATCCAATATGTAATGACAAGACACATCCGATATGTAATGACAAAACACATCCGATATGTAATGACAAGACACATCCGATATGTAATGACAAGACACATCCGATATGTAATGACAAGACACATCCGATATGTAATGACAAGACACATCCGATATGTAATGACAAGACACATCCGATATGTAATGACAAAACACATCCAATATGTAATGACAAGACACATCCGATATGTAATGACAAAACACATCCGATATGTAATGACAAGACACATCCGATATGTAATGACAAGACACATCCGATATGTAATGACAAGACACATCCGATATGTAATGACAAGACACATCCGATATGTAATGACAAGACACATCCGATATGTAATGACAAGACACATCTGTTGATGTTTTGAGGCTGTACAGATCTGTTAGGAGCACCTGGAGATGTGACCTGTGTGTGTGTGTGAGTGCGTATGTGTGTGTGTGTGTACTGAGGGGTGACGTGTGTGTGTGTGTGTACTGAGGGGTGACGTGTGTGTGTGTGTGTGGTGAGGGGTGACGTGTGTGTGTGTGTGTGGTGAGGGGTGACGTATGTGTGTGTGTGTGGTGAGGGGTGACGTGTGTGTGTGTGTGTGGTGAGGGGTGACGTGTGTGTGTGTGTGTGGTGAGGGGTGACGTATGTGTGTGTTAAAGTATTCGATTCCAGAAGATCCATTGCTCGGCTATCCTCCAATTCGATACCGGCTGTCTGGGATCGATTACGCATTTAAAAGACAACTATCTCTAGGTGTTAGTGTAATCGATTACAGAGTATCGTTCTGACTGTCTCGTTTCTCTCCCCATAGGTCGCCAGGACGTGTGATAAGCCTCATTCAAGATGGCGGATGATGACGTCATGCTGCCAGTGGCAGGGGATTCCCCTAAGTCGTCTAAGCTTCCAGAGAAAGCGAGACTGACATTTTCTATCGACAGCATCATGGGGCGTCCAGCCAGGATGGCGCCCGCCACGCCATCACCCACAGCTTCAAGCTCTCACCACAAACACTTCCCGGTACCTCAGCCACAAAAAGAGCCGGCAAGACCGGAAAGTCCGGCTAGCCCGTGTGTCGAGAACCTGAGCTTTAAACGTGAGCCCGAGAAACCTGTGAGACCGCCCTCGCCCCAAACTTCTAGAACAAAATCCATCGACCCCACCCCCACATCCATCCCAACACCCACCCCCACATCCACGCCTGCGGTTGAACCTGTCACGGTATCGATACCAAACTTGAAGTATTCGCTCCACAGCCACCAAGACCAGCAGAGACACCATCCGGCCGCTACCACCTCCCGCACGCCCTCACACTCGCCTCGGTGCTACGACCACAGCAAGCCCACGTCGCCGTACGCCCACAGCAAGCCCACATCGCCGTACGCCCACAGCAAGCCCACGTCGCCGTACGCCCACAGCAAGCCCACATCGCCGTACGCCCACAGTGCGCATGCGTTCGTCCAGTACACACGGGACATGTACACGGGTCTGCATGACCCCGCCCGACAGGTCGTGATGGGCGGCCTGACCCACGGGCTGGGCGGCCTGACCCACGGGCTGGGCGGGCTCCACCCAGCAGTGTCACGTGACTTTAGAGATCACGTGTACCCCATGTTCCACCCGGCGCTGGTCGGGGCCGCCACGCTGGAGGAGTACCAGGCCCACATCCTCAGGAGCTACCAGTGGCTGGCCCCGGGCCTACTGGCCGGCACCACCCCCGGGCTGACCACCCCCGGGCTGCCCGGCCATCTGTTTGACACGATGAAACAGTCCCAGTATTCAGGCAGGAACAACCCAACAAACAACAACAGCCCACACAACAACAACAACAGCCCACACAACAACAACAACAGCCCACACAACAACAACAACAACAGCCCACACGTCAACAACAATATGGGCTACTCGCCCTCCCACTGCGAGCAGAGTCACGTTTTAACCAAACAGCGAGGTCACGGTGACATCCCGGCCAAACAGCTGAGTCCCGGCTCGTCCTGCAGCACGCCGGGCAGTCATGTGACCAGCAAGCCAGCTGAGCCGGGCGGCGGCTCCTACGGCTCCCAAAGCCCGGCCTGCAGCCCCAACGACGTGTCGGTCAAGACGGAGGACGAGCTGGATGAGTGCATCGACCTGTCCTCGCCCCTCAGCTCGGCCTCCAGCTGCCACGAGAGCTCCAAAAAACTTTTGGGAAAATCCCAGAAAACCTTCACGTGCCCGGAGTGTGGCAAGGTCTTCAACGCCCACTACAACCTGACCCGCCACATGCCCGTCCACACAGGCGCCCGCCCCTTCGTCTGCAAGGTGTGTGGGAAAGGTTTTCGGCAGGCCAGCACCCTCTGCCGCCACAAGATCATCCACACCTCAGAAAAACCTCACAAGTGTGGGACGTGTGGGAAGGCGTTCAACCGCAGCTCCACCCTCAACACCCACATGCGGATCCACCAGGGCTACAAGCCGTACGTGTGCGAGTTCTGTGGCAAGGGCTTCCACCAAAAGGGCAACTACAAGAACCACAAGCTGACCCACAGCGCCGAGAAACAGTACAAGTGTAGCGTCTGCTCCAAGGCCTTCCACCAGATCTACAACCTCACCTTCCACATGCACACGCACAACGACAAGAAGCCTTACACCTGCCACGTCTGCGGGAAGGGATTCTGCCGGAACTTTGACCTGAAGAAGCACATGCGGAAGTTGCACGACGGCGCCCAGATCAGCAGCTCCGGGAGCACATCGGACCCCCACAGCCCGCCCCCAAACACACCCCAATCTTCCCACCCCAACCTCCCCTCCCCACACGGGCCCATGTTCCCGGGGCAGGGAAGTTTCAGCCCCTCCGCCTTCCTGTCCCGCCCCCAGCTGTATCACCACCAGGCGCTGGCCTGTCAGGGGCGTATCCTGCCCCCCTACATGGTGGGTTCCAACACGGCAAGTCTGCTGCACAAGATTTCTTCATTTATTTAATTAGCTCAATACACAAGACTAATTGATTAGCCATTGTAATTAGTTTTCAAATATTTAATTTCTATTATAAGTAGTATAACATATTATATATAATAATATTATATATATATATATATATATATATATATATATATATATATATATATATATATATATATATATATATATATATATATATATATATATATATATATATATATATATATTGTAATATATATATAATATTATATATAGTATAACAGAGTATTTGTAATTTATAATTACCAATTTTGTAATTTATTTACCAATCGCTTACTAGAAGTTGTGACGTACTTTAGTAATACATCCACCCCCAAAGCCTCAGCTGGTGTATTAGTTGCTTGCGTCACGTGTGATCTGATTGGTTGCCTGATCTTAAGCGTCGTCTGATTGGTTGTCCTTAAATCATGGATTCAGAGCTGGTTTAACCAGAAACTTAGAGCTGGTTTAACCAGAAACTTAGAGGTGGTTTAACCAGAAACTTAGAGGTGGTTTAACCAGAAACTTAGAGGTGGTTTAACCAGAAACTTAGAGGTGGTTTAACCAGAAACTTAGAGGTGGTTTAACCACAAACTTAGAGGTGGTTTAACCAGGCTCAAGTGAAGGGAGTTGTCGATCGTGCCATACCTGCCTTGAATCAACTCTTTAACCCCGTCATCGGGCTGGAGATTTTTTTTATTCATTTGGGTGGTTAAAGGTTTCACTTTGCGCTTTCCTTGATATATATATATATATATATATATATATATATATATATATATATATATATATATATATATATATATAGAATATAGGCCTATATAAACGTTTAAGTTTGTTTACACATATCTTAAATATTTACAAATGTATGATACTTGAAAAGCCACAATCAAACTGTATGTATATAAGTATATAAGTATATAAGTATATAAGTATATAAGTATATAGAAATCTGTTTACATAGTAGAATGATTAAAATTATATCTTTTAAACGTAACAATGGGACTAACTGTCCAATGTGTAATAGGTGAAGTAGAGTTGCTGTGATGATATGAAGCAGGGCGATGATTGAAACAATGGAGCTTTAAGTCTGGCCCGTGGGAATTGACCTTGTCAGTTGGCATTGACCTTGTCAGTTGGCATTGACCTTGTCAGTTGGCATTGACCTTGTCAGTTGGCATTGACCTTGTCAGTTGGCATTGACCTTGTCAGTTGGCATTGACCTTGTCAGTCGGCATTGACCTTGTCAGTTGGCATTAACCTTGTCAGTTGGCATTAACCTTGTCAATTGGCATTGACCTTGTCAGTTGGCATTGACCTTGTCAGTTGGCATTGACCTTGTCAGTTGGCATTGACCTTGACAGTCGGCATTGACCTTGTGTGACGACATTGACCTTGTCAGTCGGCATTGACCTTGTCAGTTGGCATTGACCTTGTGTGACGACAATGACTTTGAGGATGTAACATGCTCTCGTGTACATAGGGCGGAAAATTTTTAAAATAAATTTTTGAAATAAACATTTTTTTATTTACACAATGTTTTGTTGATGTGTTGCGTTGTGTGTATGGTAATATTATAGGTGATATAGAACACATATAGCACTCTCATACATATAGCACACTTATAGAACACATAGAAATAGCACACATACATATATCACACACACACACACACACACACATATATATATATATATATATATATATATATATATATATATATATATATATATATATATATATATATATATATATATATATATATATATATATATATATACAATATTATATATATAATATCTAGGTCTATAAAAACAATACATTATTAGCGTTCGGCTAAAGCTTTAATTATAAACTGTTTGTTGTTTCTATTAGGTTCCAACACTTTTATCAATCATCTAACTCTGGGGTCTCCAAACTTTTCAGTCCGAGGGCCGCATTAACTATTAAATTTCAGTTCGGGGGCCAGTTTCTTCCAGGTATGTCTTTGATTTTTCTGGGCAAAGTTCCTCAGCCATCACCAACAAATGATTTTTCCTTGGACAAAAATATCTCCGCGGGCCGGGTGAGAGGACTTCGCGGGCCGCATCGGGCCCGCGGTCCGTAGTTTGGAGACCCCTGAATTCTAACTCAAGCGATCAATAGACTTAAGCCATTTGTTAGGTCTTTGTTAGGTTGATTTACACAATCAATAATTTCGTTTTATACTCAACTTATTTAAGGCTCTAAATATTTCATATTAATCTTTGTTTCTTGACAATAGAGTAGGTAAAATGAGGATATAATTTAATTTAAATGCTGAGGTCACAGAGAAAGGTGAACTCTACTTCACCTGCCCCATGTCCCACCATGTCTCTTAAAAACACCGATTTCAGATGAGTATGGGTCTGACCACAATATCCCATTAATTAAAACATGATTACGGAAAGTACGATAAAAATATTTTCACCAAATGATATGAGAGTTCTTATGTTAGAAGGTAGCGCGTTAGCTGATCACTAAGGTGGTATGGGTTAGGTACCTAAGAAGGCATTACCGTTTTATTTTATTTTTATTTTCCAACCCAGAATGTGGACAGAGGGAAATCTCAAACACATATACATAAATACATATACACATATATACATATACAATATATATATATATATATATATATATATATATATATATATATATATATATATATATATATATATATACTAAAAGCGAGAAGTATGTATATTTATTAATTAATTTTTTGCGAACATCTGCACCATGTGTAAAGAATTAAAATATGTGTTTATGTAGACAATAGTCTTTTTTTTTTCCTAAAAGCTATTCACAAATCTACTTAAAGACGATAATTTTTTTTTTATATATTCATGTATAGAAACACCCCTTTTATTTTTAAAAGTTCAGATCAAATACTTTTCTTACTCATTTTCAAAACAAACCACATTGCCAATTCAAAGGTTTAACGCATTATAAAGCTAAATTTTCTGTTGGTGTAGCTTTAGGAATATCTCTTTGTTATTTTTTATTTGGTTCAATAGGATACGCTTAGTAGTTCATACAATAAATGTATCTTGATCTCCCGATAGACCAAACAAACATTAATTTATTTGAAACAAAAAACAAATATAAAAACACAATAAATAATTGAGTTTCTTTATTAAACTATTTTAGTCCTTAAATATTTGATATAAATCTTTGCTTTTTAGTTTCACAGATATTATTCGAGAATACAAGGAATCATTCTAGACATACGGATTTAAGCATTATTTTTAGTGTGTCTAAAGGTTGTAGATCTAGCTATATCTAGATTCTTGATTTAGAATCTAAGCCAATAATGAGTTGTTTTACTAAATTAATTCATGCCTTAATTTTTTAAATAAAAATCTTTGTTTGCTTGGTAATAGAATTGGTTAAATTAGGATATAATTTAATTTAAAATAATATTCGCATTACTTAACTTTCTTACGTTGATTCTAAGTAAAACATAACGCAATAACAAAATGTCACCCAGTGGTATTAAGTATTAGCCTGGCGGGCCGAGATGGCAGTGCTGTAGTTACAATGCGGGTAGTACGGGTTCGAAACACATCATGTCACTGTTCATTTTTTTTTTTTTTTTTACAATTTATCCTCACAGGAAAGATTATGTTGGAAATCACAATACACGTTATGGGTTCTAATTATTATGAATTTGACGTTAGTTTTAATAATTTAGTCATTTATTATTCCAAATGAGGATCGAGCTAAGAAAATATTATGGAAAGAGATAAAGTAAACTCACGTGTGATTTCTTTTAGATATGAATGATACCATTGCCTTTCGGGACTTGGCGGGACATGGGGCAGGTGAAGTAGAGTTCACCTTTCTCTGTGACCTCGGCATAAAGAGGGATAGTGTGGTCAGACCCATGTTCAGCCGAAATCGGTAACGTTTTGTCTGAGGTCTGACGTCTTTTGAATGTGGGGGTGGGGGGGGGGGGGGGTCTGGCTTGTTGTGACGATGTGTGACAGTGGGGAGAGGGAGTGGAAAGATATAAATCGTCAAACCAACGTAATGTCATGTATGGATGACCCCCGAAACCAACGGTTATCCAAAGATAATGGGTAGTCTTGTGTATGTTTGTCACAGGAAAAAAGTCACAGGAAAAAAGTCACAGGAAAAAAGTCACAGGTAAAACAAACACAGGAAAAAAAGTCACAGGTAAAAAAAACACAGGAAAAAAAGTCACAGGAAAAAAGTCACAGGAAAAAAGTCACAGGAAAAAAGTCACAGGAAAAAAGTCACAGGAAAAAAGTCACAGGAAAAAAGTCACAGGAAAAAAAACATGAAAACAATTACAGGAAAAAAGTTACAGGAAAAAAAACATGGGAAAAAAGTCACAAATGTATATTTGCATAGAATTTGTTAATACTTTTATCTCATAAATATTCAGAAAGTGCAAATCATCTTACTTTAATTAAATATAATGAAATGTGCGTAGGTTCTATGCGCATAGTGATATTTATAACACACGTAAATATTTAGTGTGAAGTATTTACGTTTTAATTCCTTTATACATATGATATTTAATAGAATTTAATAAAAATTTTCAACCTTCTCTTTTTTTTTTCATCGTGTTTGTTATGTACTAACTTTAAATTAGCGCGATAAACGTAGTTAATGTAACTTGCTGCCCTCAACTCATTGCAACAATAGGTCAACCACCTTTACCACATTTATCACGCTCATTACATAACAAAGGAAAGGATCAAAACAGAAAGCCGACACGGTATAAAGGCTGTCATTGACGCAAAACTTCAGCAACTCACAATATGGACGGACATGGTCGACTGAGGTGAATCCGTCAAAGGAACGGCAAAAAACAACTAACAAACATGCAAAACAGAATAATGTGCCTAAAATTCGTTTATAATTAACATTTCTAGAACGTATTTAACTAAATTTATTACAAAAGTTGTGGTTGATGTGTAAATTAGGTTACAGTATTTTTACTTACAAGTGTTATAAAC